GTACTTTAAGCATCGGCATCGACGTAAAGGCGCGAAAAAAGCGAGTGCCACTAAGAAAAAGGTCAAAGAAGTTGAGGTCTCTGAGATGGCCAGCACAAAGAGTGGACAAAAGGATGCAAAGAAAGTGGACAAAGAAACTGTTAAAAAAGATGATGGCAAGCTTGAGAGCAGTGATGTTAAAAAGCACGATAAACGGAGTGATAAAAAGCGCCAAGAAACGGCTTCCAGTAACGAAATACCAAAATCTTTACGCATATTATCGGTGCTACTTTACCTCACTGGCGGCGTAAGTTTTTTAAAGTTTTTTTTTTTTTTTAATTCAGCCCGACACTTCACAAATTCGTTTCTTTCCCAGGCGATCGAGTTAACTGGTTTCTTATTACTCTTATTTTATACATTTTCGCTCTGCGTTTTGGGGCGTGAGAATTCTACACGCATTTGGTTGTCAATGAATTGCCTGGCTCCACCGATCACAGCTGACTTGGTTTTCGCGATTGGTGGCTTCAAGAGTGCGGTACACTTTTATGCATCCATTGTAAGCTAACGCTGATTTATGTGTCCTTAATTTTAATTTTTCATCAATTTCATCAATTTCATCAATTTCTCAATCTGATCTAGGCTGTTGTCTATAATATTGTCATGGCAACTCTATGCATTTTATCAGCTATATTTGCATTTGCTTCAATCACAGGCTGTGGAAATCCTGCGCAGTTATTAACCATTGTTGCTGGTCTAATGGGACTTAGTGCTGGCGGTTTGCATATTTTTCTCACAATTATTGGGTTAAAAAACCTTGAAGGCGGTGGAAAACTTTTTAAAAATAGGCAATCTAAATAGATATGAGTCTATACGAGTTATTTAAGTAAATACGGACAGTTGAGAATCCAGGCAAAAAAGTCTTTTTACAGCGTTTAGCAGAGGTGGGTTCATATTGAGTCAAAAATCTCTGAACGGGTGGGTCTCCAAATGGTTGGAGTTTCAAGTGCAGCGATGAGTTTTTAGGGAGGCTATGGAACCTCAGTTGGCTGCCGACTATGAATAAGGAGGGCAACAAACTGGTGTAGGACTTGGAAATCTTTATGAATGACTCGCCTCCAAATGGTGCGAGAAGTTTGAAATGAGTGGCTCGATGAATGTGATGTTAAACATACCGCCCATAGACATTATGTCGAAGCAAACTGCAGCCCGCGCTGCCGTCAGACCGAGGAACCTATCCAGCTGGAAAGCAAATCAATGCGGTCATAGCTCAATTCTAGAAGGGCTTAGTCTGCCGGAAATAACGGATTATTGCGTGCGGCAACGACCTTTGACAAGGGGTATAAGGTAACAATCCGCAGCAGGGAACAATGAAACCAAGGCGTTCCGGGACCAGCGGATTCTATTCAGTTCTACACTGACGGATCCAAACTGGATAACAGAATCGGAGGTGGAGTGTACTCGGAACAACTAGGAGTACAGAAGTCATTCCGCCTTTCGGGCCACTCTAGAGCATTTAAAGCCGAGATCGCGGCCATAGAGGAGACTACCGAGTGTTTAAAGACACGAATAGTAGGGCGTAATGGCAGCCAAGCGGTTTTAAAAGTTCAGGATTCTATCACATGCAACTCGGGAACAGTAGTGAGCTGCCGCAGATCACTCAACGTGATGACAGAGAGATCCCGTTTGGTACCACAACGGGTCCAATGATGGGCCTAAGTGTGCCGGTGTGTCCACCAGCAGCCACTGCAACCTAAACTACCCTAACAATGGCATGGTGGCCGATATTTTCGTTTGAGTACGCTTATGTTCTGCACTTCACAGATACGTTTTCATAATTCGGAGACACAAAATTAAAATTTATTACATTCGGACATTCTGAATGTTAGCAATTAACAGAAATCATCTCTGCACACTCAGAAACAGCCATTCTGTAAAATATTCGACCTCAAATATCGAACTTGAATAAATTTTTTTCGTCGTTCGATCGTGTTCTTCACTTCACAGATGCTTTTTCGTAATTAAGAAAAAACAGATTACATGCTGCCTATGACGGCATTCGAAACCCGAATCTGCTGGAGGCCAAGCAAATAACAGCAAGCATATCTGCACGTTTAGCTACAGCCAGACATACAAATGTGTTTTGAAATGTTCTACTTGAATCGCATTTCTTACATTCGGTGTATTTACCATGAAAAATCAAACAATACCTTGGTTGTAAAAGCCATTGTACTTTTGGCTCCGTTTAGTTGTCACGTTTAGAGAATTAAAAAGCAAAATTACCGAAATTTACCCTGCGACAGCTAAATGAAGACTTCCTAGTAAAGACCTATTTACATTACCTTAAGCTGCCTTTACACGGGCCGATGTAAATAGCAATACAATCGATTTTTGTCGACTGGAAAATCGCTGTTAAATCGACTAGCCAAAACATTTCAATTTTACGGTTGAATTGCTATTTACACGGGTCGCTTTTAGTTGAACGACAAAAATCGACAAGAAAATCGACCCGTGTAAACGCAGCATAAGAATTTCGGCTGGTCGCTTTTGCCGTCGACAGAAAGCGACCCGTATAAAGACCCGTATAAAGACAGCTTTAGTTAAAATATGTAACAATTGCCAACAATTAAGAAAATAAATAAATAATTAACCCCATGAAAGCATTATTCAAAGCGAAGCATTTATTCACCGTAACCTGGTAGTTACATATGTCAAGTGAAAAAAATTAAGAAATACAAAAAAAAAAAAAGATCCCGACGAGTTGATAACCTTTCACCTTTTTGTGAAGTCGGTTAAAAAGAATTGTAAAATATAAACAAATAAAACATCGCATGTCAACAACAAAAATAAAAGTGTTTTATGAAATGACAAAATGAATTATTGTTGAAAAATTTCATACCAACAAATTACCGCTAGTATAAAAGCCGAAAACTCTTGTAGCACATACGACGACCGCACGGTCAGATGGATCAAAACAGAAAGAAACGCAAAAAGTGTAAATTTTACTTCCTACTAAATGTTGTAAGTTTAAATTAAAATATATTTATGTATACAAAGAAATTTCTGCATAAAATTTCGGTACATGTTTCTCTTTTTTTTTCGTTTAAGCTGCTGGAGGCTAGCGCCATTGGCGGTGTTGTGTATTGTACACTCTTCTCCCATTGCGTGTTGGGCAATGAAGTCAGCGGTCCAGTGTTCATATTCCTTTTATTCATATTTTCTGCCTTCATACCGGATTTGTTTTACCTTTTCCTTTGGCGTAAGCTACATACTTTGGGCATTGATCCGCTGGTATGTATGTGTGTGTGTGTAATTGTCCAATATTGTCGATAATATGTCGATTAATATTCTTAGCACCGACATTAAAAGGCCTCAACACTTTACTCCTTTTCTTTTGCCAACAGGGTTGCATGTTCAATTATTTTATGGGCGTTTTATGTATTTTAGTTGGTATAGGTCTTACATTGGTAATGCTACTCTTCTGTGGACACTATACACAATTCATATTGGTT